GAAGATTTCGTCGCTGCCAGCCTCTCGTTGTCACACCCTCAAATCGCCGCTCAGCCGTCACGCAGTCACGCTCAGTTCTCTGGATCCAGATGAACCTTCGAAGGTGACTCATTTCTATCCATTGCTTGCAATTCCTTCTTTATGTTTCACGATTCAAGTATCATTTTCGTGATTCAGCTCAGCAAACCCTTGGATTTGTTGCCTGGTTTATTTTTCTGCAAACCCTAGAATTTGGGGGCAGTGGCTATTGAATTAGACCGTCGGCCAAATCCGACAGCGACTTCATCTCTATCTCCTCTTCTGCCTTCACGTCATGCAGCGCCAGAACCTCGACCACCGTCTTAAGGATGCTTTTGGGATGATGATATCCATGGATTATCTCATCTGAAATCCTCGTCGCCTAAGTCGAAGCTGGTAGATTTCGTCGCATTGGGGATCGCCGACGCCATGGACAAGAGGCCAGCGTTGGAGAAGAGACCAACGAAGATGACATGAGTATTTACATTATTGTCCTTCATTTAGACGGTGGCTTCACGGTCAAAGATTCGGATGACGAAATCTAGTAGAAATTTTAAAGTTGAGGGCTTAATTTGGTAGGAATGATAGTCGAGAACCAAATTGGTAGTTTTGCAATAGTCAGATGACCAAATCGGTTATTAACTCTTAAAAGAAATTAAACATACACATATTATGTCAATAATTAATCGAAATTAAAGATACACATTATTTTATTAAGAATAATATATATATACTCCTTAATTACCATAATTATTAAGATTACATGGACGTCATAATTAGCATAGTATTAATTAAGAATAATATATACTCCTTAATTACCATATAGTAATCATAATAAAACGGCCTCATTTTTATTGGAATTAATGATAAATTTTCCTACCCATATAGAAAATTAACAGTCGTTATATCGTGGACCGCGGTGCATGTGCACAACGGTCAAAACGGCGCCGTTTCTTTAAGTAAAGAAACGGCGCGCCGTTAGTTTTAACGGAGCGTGCATTTTATATATGTTAAATACCAACTAACACTACAGTATATCTAAACCGACACTGCCTCACGTATTATTTTTATATTATCAAATGAAACTGCAGTTATATCAAAATGATATTGTAGTTGTGGTGAAATGAAACTGCAGTGTATATAAAATGAAACTGAATAACAGTTCACATATTTGAGTGTATATTGTACAATGAAGCTGTAATTATATCAAAATAATCATGTAGTCAGGGACGGAGGTACCTTATGGGGTAGGGGGGCCCTGAACCCCCCCCCCCCCACCCACCCCTACCTTCACCCTAAATTTTTTTGTAAATATGTATGTATATATCGATATAGTAGGGATAAAATACACTTTTGGCCCCCTCTAATTTTTTTTTTTTAAATAATCTATTATGTTTATATTAAATGAACTCAAAATATATATGTTTATAAATTTCAAATTCATTAAATAAAAAGAATTAAATCAAATAATTAAGTGACCATTTTTCTTTATTATCTTATTTCTTTTATCAAGATTTTAATAATGAATGGCATCAAGTATACATTTTAATTTAAAAAAAAAATCTCCAAATTTGAGATATATATGCTTTGGTTTTATTAGTTATATATGTTGATTAATAATTAGTGAGTTATTGTGTGTTTTAATTATTTATTTACATTTTTAAGATGTACATTTGTTAGTTTAAATTATTAGTTTTTAAATTGACAAAAATTAATATTAATTATTTAATTCGTCTTGGTTTTTGTCTTTATCTCTCAAATTTTGAAATATTCAATTAACCAGTAAAATGAATATAAGTTAATTACGAAAAAATTTGGTGAAAAAAAAATTGACAACTTTTTATTTGATGTTAAGTGATAATCTATATTTTAAATAAATGTTGTTGTTATTGTTATTATTATATTTTGTGTTATGTGAAACATTTCTAAAGTAATGATCGATCGTAGTCATATAATTATGTATTTCATACTTTATTACACATAGTATAATTAGAAATCATTATATTATCAATAATGATCACAATAATGTATGATATATAAAATAATATGGTGCGGTTAATTTTAATGTCGACTAACATTGTAAATTTTCTCAACTGCATCGCCCCCCCTCCCCCCCCCCCCCCCCAAACTCAAGTTTTCTAGCTCCGTCCCTGCATGTAGTTGTGTTTTAATAAAACTATAGTCTATATAAAATAAAATTAAATAACATTTTCACATATTTGAGTCTATAAATATCGAATGAAACTGTAGTTATATCGAAATGAAATTGTAGTTGTGTTGAACCGAAACTGCAGTGTATACAAAATGAAACTGAATAATCAATCGTTATACCCTACACCATGGCGCGCGTAGCACTGTGCACCGCGCGCCTCCCAAAACGACGTCGTTTTGGGATCGTTTTGGGAGGCGCGGTAGGAAGTTGCTGTGATTATGTATATTTGTTCACACAATTATGTATATTTGTTCATACAATTATGTATATTTGTTCATACAGTTATGTACATTTTTTTATACAATTATGTACATTCTTTTTATATAATTATGTACATCCGAATCAGAAAATTTGTGTGTATTATGTTAAGAGTTGATGTGTGTTATGTTAAAAGTTTATGTTTATTATGTATTATGTTAGATTATGTGTATTATCTTTTAAAAAGAGTATGTATATTTTGTTATATAATTATGTACATTCATGTATACAATTATGTGTTTTCTAGTATAAAATTATGTACATTTTTGAACAGGGTTTTTTTTTTTAAAGAAAAAATAACTGCCATACACTGGGTGGGAAATTAAAAAAAAAAAAAATTAAAACGACGTCGTTTTGCATCTGGGCGCAGAGTGCAACGCGCGCCGTGGTGTAGGATATAAATTGCCATTGAATAACAGAGTTACTTTTTGTGGAAGGGTGTGGAACATCGAGAAACAAATGCCGTTTATTTTCATTAAACTAAACGACGTCGTTTTGATGCGCGGTGCATAATCGATTATGCACCGCGGTACACGATATAATTTGCCAGAAATTAAACATACACATATTACAGTGGGTAATTAAAGAAAAATAAACATACACATATTATGTCCATAATTAAAGAAATTAAATATACACATATTACGTCCATTTTACCAACCTATATTTTACACTTTAATCTTACTATGGTAATTTAACATAGAGATTCCCTTTATTTAATTATTGTATATTTTTTTACTTAAAATATATAATATCAATTAGCCATGCTCTTTCTTCTATTTTTTGTTTAGACTTTTCCTAATATATCAATTGCGGGAACACTAATATACAAATCTTATAATTTCAAATAAATGTACACTTTCAAATATTAAAATTCTTTATAATTTCATCATCAATTTTATTATTGAAATGAGTTAATACCATCTAAGGCCCTCCGAGTATAGTGGTTTTGTCACATTTAGTCCTAAACTTTCAAATTGACCATTTGTGGTCCTTCGACTTTCAAATTTAACCATTCGTGGTCCAAGTTAATCACCCATGGTCCTTCAACTATTAAATCTTAACCAATCATGAAAGGACCACGCCTGGTTAAATTTCGAAACTTGAAGGATCATGTGTGGTTAACTTGGACCACAAATGATTAAATTTGAAAGTCGAAGGACCCACAGATGGTCAATTTGAAAGTTAGAACTAAACGTGGCAAAACCACTATACTCGGGGGACCCCATGTGGCATTAACTCTTCTTTAGATATATATAAAAAAAATTTATCTGTGCATCGCACAAGTGATTTACTAGTAAAACCTATTTATCGCCTCCACTAAAACTCAAACCCACAACCTCTCATATAAAGGAGTAACTTAGTGTCACTAGACTACAAGGTCCTTGTCGATTAAGATACAACTTTTGAGAAAACATTTTTCTTCATATGTTCTCCATATGTTCATTTTTGTTTCAATTACTGAAAAATCACAGTCAACTAAGGAAGCCACTAGAATCTATTCATATTCCTAGTCGACAAAAACCATAAGAGTGGATTATAGAGTAGCTTCCTTAAAGCAACTACAATAGTTATGTTGTTTCGATTAGGTTTGTGTCCAACAAGGAGAGAGAAATGGAAGAAAAGTGGGAAAAAAGAAAATGAAAAATATCACAGTCAAAATAAATTAAAATTTTATTAATTGTATTAACGCACTTAGCGAGCATGTTCATTGCACGCGCCCACCCGTAGCTACTAGTGTAATCATCTGGTCAATCATTTGACTCTAATTCCACCCTCATGGTAATTCAAATCAAATTGGAAACAATCGATCAAGACCATAACATGTAAACATCTCCCTATCTAACGTACCTATTACTCTCATATATAGTAGGAACAAGAATGTCTGTCTCATATGTACTCTACTCTTTTAGCAACAACACCTACATTTTCAAATTAAGAATATGCCATATAATCAAAGCATTAATCATACACAATATGAAGCAAATGTTCTAACATAACCTTGCATGATCACAACCTAATAATGATATCACAGAACAGAACTCAGATAGGAAGAAAGAAGAAGAAGCTTTGATGTATTGAAGAGATGAGCACTGGTACATTGGTATTATTCATCAGTTCTGAAGAAAGGGAAACACAGGGCTTATATACAAAGACTATTGATCTAACAGAGCTAACTGAAAGGGAAAGAAAAGTACTAACTGATTTATAACCAAATCAACCTAACTGACTTCTTGTCTTCTCTTCTAATACCCCCCACAAGCTGGAGTGTACATGGAATGATGCCCCATCTTGGAAACAAACTTCTGAAATAGCATAGGCTCTAGGGGTTTAGTCAGGATGTCTGCTGTCTGGTGCTCAGTAGGAACATGTAAGAGTTTTATAATGCCCTTTTGGATTTTCTATCTTATCAATTGACAATCTATCTCTATATGCTCAGTCCTTTCATGTAGAACTGGATTTTCTGCCATGGCAATTGCAGATTTGCTATCAGAAAACAAAATGGCTGATTCTACTGTCTGTACTTAGTGGACTTGAAGAAGATAGAACAACCACTGTATTTCACAAACAGTAAGAGCAAGGGCTCTATACTCAGCTTCAGAGGATGATCTAGATACAGTGCTTTGTTACTTGGACTTCCAGGATACCAAGGCATTTCCCAAAAACACACAAAAACGAGTGACAGATCTTCTTGTGTCAGAACAAGCTGCCCAATCTGAATCAGCAAATTAAAGCCACTCAACTTCAGATTGGAATCTGCAGGGAAGAACAAACCTTGTCCAGGACTGCCTTTAATGTACCTAAGCACTCTATGGACTACTTGGAGATGAAAAACTGTAGGTTTGTCTAAGAATTGAGACAATTGTCGCACATCAAAACATATGTCAGGTCTAGTGATGGTCAAATATAGGAGTTTTCCCAACAATCTTCTATACTGAGTGTTATCCTCTAATGCCTCACTATCATCTTGGGAGAACTTATTTTTCTGGACCATATGACACTTTACAGGTTTACTCTCAAGAAAACCTGCATCTTGTAGAAGGTCTAAGGCATACTTCCTTTGAGTTAGAGATATACCTATATGATTCCTAGCAACTTCCAATCCAAGGAAATACTTTAGGCTTCCCAAGTCCTTGATTTGGAAAACTGAATGTAAATGATCTTTGATTTGTTGGATTTGAGTTCTGTCACTGCTAGCCAATATCACATCATCTACATACACCACGAGGGCAATGAAACCATCACCAGATCCTCTAGTAAACAAAGAGTTATCACACACTTCTTGTGCAAACCCCATGTTAACAAGCTCAGTAGTTAGCCTGGCATTCCACTATCTGCTTGCCTGTTTCAGTCCAAAGAGGGATCTCTTTAGCCTACATACCTGCCCAGGTTGATTAGGGATAAAACCTGGGGGAAGGATTATATAAACCTCTTCATTGAGATCTCCATGCAGGAAAGCATTGTTAACATCAAGTTGATGTAGCTCCCACCCTCTTGCAGATCCCACAGTTAGCAATGTTCTAATAGTTGTTACCTTTGCAACTGGACTAAAAGTATCCACATAGTCTATGCCACAGGTCTGAGTGTACCCTTTTGCAACCAACCTGGCCTTGCACCTTTCCACTGTACCATCAGCCTTATGTTTTACTTTGTAAACACATCTACATCCTATTGGTTGTTTGGAAGGAGGAAGAGTGGTCAGCTCCCAAGTGTTGTTGGCTTGTAAAGCCTCTATTTCTGTCTGCATAGCATCCTTCCAACAATCATATTTTATGGCCTCATTGTATGACTTTGGTTCTTGAATATCAAGAATATTGGCAGAGAAAATCTTGAATGTAGGTGATAACTTCTCATAAGACAACACAGCTGATAGAGTGTGAAGAGAAGTCCTAACTGTAGGCAAGTTGTAATCATAGTTTCTCAGATAAACAGGTCTAGATTTTTGTCTCTTAGACCTCCTGGTCTACACTGGTATGGGATCAGATTGTACTGGCTCAGGATCACCCTGAGTAGCTTCAGGTGTGGGATCATTTGGCTCTACAGGGCCATTGTGACTCCTTTCCTCTCTTTGTACAGTCCTCTGGCAAACAATATCTTCCATAATACTTGTGTCACTTGGCAAAATAAGATCCTGAGGTGATCCTTATCTGTCAGTCTGTTTTGATGTCTTGTAAGGAAGGATATGTTCATAGAAGACCACATCCCTTGAAACAAATACTTCTCTAGAGTTCAGATCATAGAGCTTGTACCCTTTTACTCCATTAGGATGTCCAAGAAAAAAGACATTTCCTGGCCCTAGGTGAAAATTTTCCTAAATGACCTTTTTGTAAGACAGCATAGGCCAAGCACCTAAAGATCCTGAAATGTGAGTATTGTGGTGCCTTCTTGAATAACACCTGATAAGGAATCTGCCCTTGCAAAGCTGATGAAGGTAGTTTGTTAATAATATAGACTGCATGCAGTATGCAATCCCCCCAAAAACCATCTGATAATCCTGATTGGAACTTCAGTGCCCTTGCCACAGCTAGAATATGCCTATGTTTTCTTTCAACCACACCATTTTGTTGTGGTGTATACACACAATTTGTCTGATGGATTATCCCTTTTTGTTGATAAAACTTATCCATCTTAAATTCTTGTCCATTGTCCATCCTTATACATTTGATCATTTTCCCGAACTGTGTCACGATCAAGGCACAAAATCCTTGAACTAATGACCTGACTTCATCTTTGCCTTTCAGTAAATAGACCCATGTGGCCCTGCTACAATCATCCATAATTGTTAAGAAAAATCTGTGTCCATATATGGTGTGTGTGTGTGTAGTATGGTCCCCAGATGTCAATATGGATCAGATCAAAACATTCACTACAAACAGTAGAACTAGTATGAAAGGGCAATCTTCTTTGTTTAGCTAAATGGCAAGTGTTTCAAACATCATCTTTATTCACTTTCAAATTTACATTCAACAAAGAAGGTATTTGTTTCAGTTTTTCATAAGAGCAGTGCCCTAATCTAGCATGCCAAGCATTGGCAGAATTACAGAAGTTGACTCTAGCCTGTACTACTTTATTAGAAACAGGAAGAGTGGGTTTTACAAGGTAATACAACCCTCTTTGCAAGTTAGCCAAGCGAATCACCTCCCCACATTCCTGATCCTGTATAATGCACCAGTCAGAATACAACAACACTTTGCATTTGGAGGTCTTAATTAGTTCACTGTCAGAGATTAGATTGTAATGGAAAGCAGGCACACATAATACATTTTGCAGAACCAGACCATCAGCACAAATAGATCCTATGTGTGTAATATCAGCTTTGCCTCCATTAGGTAGTTCAAAAAACATACCTTGGATCTCTTTTGCATTAGTTAACATGCTATGATGACATACAACATGATGGGTAGCCCCACTATCTAATATCCAAGCAGCTTGATTTTCAGAAGAGAGGTCAGAGTGAATACCTTCAAGTTGGGAATTGGGAGCAAAATTGGCAGCAATCAGGTTGGCCTGGGGTATTCCTTCAGTCACACTCAAGGGTGATTGGTGAATTATGCTATTCCTATGCAAAAGTTGTTTGATCAATCTGTAATCATCTAGGCTTAAAGTAACAGAACCAGTATTGTTAGATCCCGTGTCCTCACTTAAAACCTGCTCATTGGTGTTGGTTGCAACTTGATTAACAGAACCAACAACCTTCTGTCTTGGTTTCCACCCAGGTGGATAACCATTCTTCTTGTAACATTTCTCTCCTATATGTCCAGTAAAGCCACAGTAAGTGCAGACAGGTTTCTTGTTGCTATTGGAATGGAACTTCTTGAAGCCTGCTCCATTGCCCTGTGTATGTAGAACTCTGCCTGCTTCTTGAGTTTGCATTCCTGTTACCCCATTATTGAACCTTCTTTCTTGCTGTTGAACAATCATAAAGGCCTCATCAACAGTAGGAAGAGGTTTTGTCATCATGATCTGAGACTGGACAGATGCATAAGTCTCATTGAGACCTCTTAAGAAAACTGAGAGGTTGTCATTTTCTAGGTGTTGTTGCAAAGTCTCCAACAATCCGCAATCACACATTCTATCACACTTGCATGTAGGCAAGGGCCTAATGACTTGAAGTTCATCCCAGAGATTTTCCAATTTTGCAAAATAACCGCTCACAGTTAAGTCACCATGTCTGATCTGGTGAATCTCAGCAAGTAGGTTTGAAATTCTGAAAATATCTGCTTCGTTGAACCTGGCTCTCAGTGTGCTCCATATACGTTCAGCTGATCCAACCCAAAGGAGTGTTGACGCTATCTCTGGGGAAATGGCTCTCATGATCCAAGTTGCCACCATATTATTGCATCTTCTCCAATAAGGGTATTTTACTTCACCTATGTTGGGAATGGGAATTGTGCCATCCACAAACCCTAATTTGTTCTTGGACAGCAATGCCATCTCCATTGCTCTGGCCCAAGGATGGTAATTCCGGCCACTTAGAACGTTTGAGACAAGAATCAATGGAGGATTCTCATTCGGATGCAAGAAATAGGGACTGGCGGTGTCGTTCGGATCAAAAATTGCTGCGACGGTATTGACGTTCTCCTGTGCTGGGGGAGCCGTCGAGGTTCCTGCTACAGGCGGGGCAGCCGAGGTCCCAGGAGGTCTAATCGACGCGTTGTTCCAAGCCATGGATGCTGCGCTTATAGCTCTGATACCATATCATAGAACAGAACTCAGATAGGAAGAAAGAAGAAGAAGCTTTGATGTATTGAAGAGATGAGCACTGTTACATTGGTATTATTCATCAGTTCTGAATAAAGGGAAACACAGGACTTATATACAAAGACTATTGATCTAAAAGAACTAACTGAAAGGGAAAGAAAAGTACTGTTGGTCCCGATAGGGTGGTGAAAGTCTAGAGGGGGGGGGGGGGGGTGAATAGACTTTCAAGCTTTTTCAAATTAAATAACTCTTTGGTAACTTCAACTCTAAGTAACAAGTAAATAGAGCAAATTTGTACTGCACAGTGGAATAATAGTAAAGAGTTATGCCCAACTAGTAAATTAAGTGTGCAGGTATAAGTAAGTTAGGTACAAATGATATGTAAAGTGACAGAGATATCTTGAATATATAAAGGAGATGGTTCACTCAATATATAATAACAATATTCAAGATTGTAAATAAATATCGTATCACGTCGAACGTGTGACGACTGTTACATGCAACACGTCAAACTTGCTTAGAATAAATCACTTTTTAAGCTCGAGAAGTTTGAGTCACATGCATACGTGAGAACACACTAAACCCGGATGATTAAGATTAACTGTGAATAGTAAACGGGTTAGTCGGATGAGATAGATAGATATAGCAAATAATGTAAGTGCGGTATGTAAATGAGAGAGGCAATTTATAGTGGTTCGGAAGTGGCGTAATCTTCCTAGTCCACTTTTCTCCTTTCACGTCTAGGAGAAATTCACTATTTTCCACACACAGTTACAATAGTGAACAAGTGCTACACAGGCACTTCTTCCGGATGTCTTGCACACAGCTACACCCTGCTCCGAGTGTCTCGCACACAGCTACACTCAACTCCGAGTATTTCGCACACAGCTATACTCAACGCCAACTAAGTGTCTTGCACACAGCTACACTTAGAAACTACGAGTGTTTTGCACACAGCTACACTCACTAGAGTATTTTGCACACAACTATACTCTTTCTACAATTTACAAATACAAGGATTTGTATTTCTCTCTCCAACTAGATTTGAGACTATTCAGACTAAGTCTCTTAGAATATTTGAGCACTAGCACTTTTGAATTTTGCACTTGTATTCTATCTCGTTTTTCTCTGCTCTACTCTACAGTTTGTCTTCAAGTCTTCATGGCTCTTTATAGTCAATCAAATATATCCGTTGGAGTTGGATAATTTGATATTTGAATTTTGAATCTTCATAGCCTGATATTGTTGACAGTAGTAGATCTTCAATATTGATTTGATTTGTCAACTTGCCTGACAAAGTAATTATTTTTAGCACAACTTTGATTTTCTAGTTGTTTCTAAAAATATTACTTTAATTGTCAATTTGAATATCCAACGAATCTTTGAAATAAATTCATCTGATAGAATTTATTTCTAGGATAAGTTTTTATATTCATGCCTTCATAAATATTTTTCCGTTCTGATCAAATGTCTTTCAGGCAATTTTGGAGTCTTGTGGCATGTGGGTGGACTTGGAGTAAATTCCTTCGAATTTATCCAATTTCTGATCATCTTGCTCTTTTGCCACATTGTGCTCCTTTGACTTGAACATCGTGCTCCTTGACTTTGAACATTGTGCTTCTTTCGATACATTGTGCTCTTCTGACAGCATTGTGCTTCTTAGACAACATTGTGCTTCCTTCGATACATTGTGCTCTTCTGACAGCATTGTGATTCTTAGGTGGCATTGTGCTCCTTTCAGATTTGGTCACATTATGCTCCTTTAGTAGGCATCGTGCTCCTTCGGACACATTGTGCTCTTTTGAACACATCGTGCTCCTTTAGCAAGGCATCGTGCTCCTTCGGACACATTGTGCTCTTTTGAACACATCGTGCTCCTTTAGCACACATTGTGCTCTTTTGAACACATCGTGCTCCTTCAAAATCTGCCTTAAAAATATAGGTCCTTAGGGGGAATCGATCTCGAGTGTGATCGTTTAGAGTAAAGACCTCTACCATTTCGCCGTTAAGCTCATCCGATCATTCCTTGCAACGTCATTGCTTTGTGCTTCTTTCACGGATGAATACTCGTAGGACCAAAATTAATTTCTCAAATTAATTTTGTTCTTCCTATGGTAGATTCCTTCTGATTTCAATATTCTGATTTATGATGCTTGTACTAAAGACTTAAAAACTAAGGGGATCTAAAGATACATTTGGCTCATCAAAACTTACAAAAATATTCCTATCAATTTTCCCCCTTTTTGATGACGTCAAAACCTATATTATTTTCATTGACATAGCCAAGATGAGTTTAACAAATGATTTTGACTCTAGGAAAGGTATTTTTAGCCACTATATTCCTATTTCGCATTTTTGGAATTTTAATGATAATGAATTTTTTCATTTTTCCAGTTCATGCGATTTGATACACTCTAAGCTAAAAATATAACCTTTCAAGACAAATAATAAAATTAAGAAACAACTTAATAGCATCATAAACAGATAATTCAAATCATTTCAAATTGTTTCATGGGTTCATGTACCCGTGGACCACAAAAAAACTGTACCAATCATACAAATCATCTAATCACTTTGTTTCTCTTTTCCTTGAGCACATTGTTAATATGGTTCTGAACATCAACGAAATTGTCACTAATGGCAAAGTTGTTGCATACCTGCCCAACTGAATAGTAGTTGAAAGCTTCAGTGATGTTGCTTCCGGGCAGTATACCTTCCTCATACCATATGATGCACTCTTCTAGACTTTTTCCATCTTGTAGCTCGGCATCATTGACTTTGATGTAGTCCCTTAGAACCATAATCATCAAGGCTCTAGCATAGCTTTGAATTCTTCTGAAATTTTCACTTGAAACCCACATGTTTTGATCACTAGGACCACTTTTCTTCATTCCTTTTGGTAGATCATTCAAAGTCACCAACTTTGGCATTTCAACTCTACCGTCTCGCAGTGTGGATTCCAAATAAAGAGCTGCACGGTTGTACCAATTTATTTGCTCAATGTTTCCCCCTGCACAAACAATATCACGAAAAGAACGGTTAGTGGTATTTGCACTGCTTGATCCTCCTGGACTGCCAGCTTCACCACCACCGAACCAATACTCCAATCCTCCTTTTCTTGGTGCATTTCTTCCAGCAGATCTGCCTCCTCCACCCCTACTACTGCTTGTGCCAACATTTCTGCTAGCCATGGCAGTCATCATCATCTCAATCATGCTCTCCAAATGACTGAATCTCTCTTCCCCCTTTTTGGCGTAATCAAGAAGTGTATGAATTGATTCACGAAGAGATGAAATGGATTCGGAAATGTTCTCATAAGAACCCCGAAGACAGCCCACTTTGGTGTTAACTGAGATGAGATCCGTGTGGACATCACTAATCTGCTTTTCATGTTGATGAACAACATTGAGAATACCTTGGCTTTGGTTCACGGCAATTGCTTCATTTGCCTTTCCAGAATTCTTGAGGATTTGTGAAAGTTAGATATAGAACTCATTGAGTTGCCCTTTGACATTGTTATTCAAACTTCCAACTTGTCTTTCAAGTGCTTGGTGGGTATCAATCAAATGTTGTTGACTTCTCCGATTTTCATCAAAAGATGCTTCGAATTTTCCACCTTGAATATTGACAACTTGATCCCCATGAGTGTAGATCCCTTGAAACATGTTCTCAATTCGGTCAACAAGGCTTAAGACAACTTTCTCCAGATTTTCCAACTTCTCATTTGTAGGTGTGCCAACAAGTTCTTGCTCTTCTCGGGATGAGGGAAAACACCTTGCTCCTTCTTAAGCAAAATCGGCTTCAAGCATGTGAGATTGAGCTTGATTTTCCACTATATTTCCTTCCCTTTCCGGAGTGTGTAGCACGTGAGTGTCACCATGTGCACTTTCTGCATTAAGAGATTGAATTTCCTCCGTATGTTGACTAGCTTGCATGGCATTTTGGTCTTGACTTATTTCAGTGAGATTTAACACACTCACATCATATAAGCCACTATCCATCAAGTGTACACCATATGTGACATTTTCTTCAACATCCCTTGTCACAAATTCGGCCATATCAACTAAGAAATTGTCTTCAGTAGGCAAATCATCTTGAACGGTGCAGTCAACAGTAGCTTCGGCCAATTTGGCTTTCAATTTGTTCACAAAAGCTCCATTTACCGTAGACAACAAGGTTGCATGGCAAACATCAAAATTGCCAATCCAATTTAGTGAAAACAATTCTTCTTCATGCATACTTGGTCCCTTAGTCATCAACTCATCATAAGGACCAAGTCTCCATTTTCTCCAACTTAGAACTCTACGGTATTCATTCACTAATACACAGTCTAATCCTTCAACTTGATGAATCTCCTCATTCAACATTGTTTCCAATTCGGCAATTTGGGAAAAAGGATTTAAGAGACTTTGGCTTGCATTTGGGTTAAGACATGTGGTAGGATTTTGGCTTGTGGTAGGGTTAAGGCTTGAGGTAGGGTTATGGCTTGTGTTTGGATTTTGGCTTGATGTAGGGTTTTCATGGGATTGAGAGGGTAGACCAAGAATTTCTGCAACCGGTCTTTTTCTAGCTGGGATACCTCTCGGCTTCCTCTTTCTTTTGGAGTTTAGATCACTAACCACTTCATGATCTTTAAACAAGATTCTATTACTCCCAAAAGGCTTCTTTGACCTCATAGTCAACCCTTTACTTTTGATAATCTCTCCAATGAGCAAACCGAACCCTAATATACGGTTGAACTTCCCATTCCTTATTTTTGCACCTTTCACAAAGTGTGCAATTCGGCTCAAGACAAGCTTACTCCAATCACCCTTAACAACATTCATGATAGCATGTACATAACCAATTCTTACGGGTGAAATATCTTCCATGCTATTTAATTTGCACAACACACATTTGTAGAGAATTTTAACAAGCATTTCATACTCCAACTTCAACTCAGATTTTTGACCGGAAAGATTTGGTTC